GGGCCGGGCTGTCGGCTCCGGGGATCAGGGTTTGCGGGGTGTGGGGTCGGCGACGGGTTGCGGGGTGCAGCGCGAGCATGGCGAAGCGGGGTGCGTTGGCGAGGTCACACGGCAGGATGCAGGGCAGGGACCGGGGTGTCGGGTAGGGTGCCTGGGTGACGGGGCGGGGTGCGAGGCACTGCGCGCCACTGAGTGGGCGAGGCGCCGAGGTCACTCAGCTTGACTCGGTTGACGGGGCGTGATTGCGGGTGCCGCGGGGCGCAGCCCGCGCGGGGGGTGGAGGGCCCTAGGGGCATTGGGGGCACAAGGCGCCTTGGGGGAATGGTGGACGGACCCGCCAGCTGCAGGCAGGTCTGGGACTCTCGCTAGTAGCTACCAGTACACTATGTCCTAGCTGGCCAGGTGTGGCCAGGCAATGGGAGGATGGCCCTCGGCAGTGGGCTCAATGGGCTGGGCTGGGGGCAATTATGGTGACCTTGTGTAAACAAAAAAGAGGGGTACTATGTGGGCTGGGGGCAATTATTGTGACCTTGTGTAAACAAAAAAGAGGGGTAGTGACCTAGTGTGTGGGCTGGGTGGGGTACCGTGTGGGGTGGGTGCGGTACTATGTGTAGGCTGGGTGGGGCACTACGGGTGTGTTGCGTGGGGTACTACGTGGGCTGGGTGAGGTACCATGTGGGCAGGGTGTGTAGGCTGGGTGTGGTAGTGTGTTGGCAAGGTGTGTCATTTATGTGGGCAGGGGCCTGGGGGTGGTACTATGTGGGCTGGGTGGTGTGCTATGTGGGCTGAAGGTTAGTCAATATGAGTTTTGTGACTTTGTCGAACGTTTGTAAGTTTTTTTTTTTTTTTTTTTTTTTTTAATGCTTTGTCGGTTGCCTTTTCTCTTTCATTAGCCATTGTACTCCACACAGTTTGGGATTTTTTTTTTTCATTTTTTAGTTTTGTAGCTTTATCGGTGACCTTTTCTCTTTCATTAGCCATTCTATAGTATTTCTACTCCACATACCTTGAAAATATATGTACATTTTACAACCGAAAATATTCCCACTTCGACCATCCACGTCGATTTTTCCCGAGGCCTAAGTGGAAAGCATTTTAGGGGTTAGTTGAGGTGGAAACTTTCAATGGACGATAAAAATTGCGACAAAACACACACACACCAATGACACCATGGACAACCGCTAGACAGTAAATTTTCAAGAATGCGAAAATTTAAAGATTCGAAACAAATTCCAGTCTCTGAAGACAAATCGAACTGCCAAGGGTGGGAAAAAAAAACAAAATATTGCATCATTTGCAATCATATACAAAAAAAAAAAAAAAAAAAAAAATTAGTCACAACTTCAGAAGACACATGTTGAAAACACTCGTGCGACTATATGCAGAACTATTGTGAACTTGGTTGTTTGTCGATTTTTAATTCTCCACGAACAGTGGAAGTTGTGGAACACTCGCATGCAGACAATCATACGCACGCCCATACATGCCCCACAGACTCAACAAGGAGGAAAGACGAGACAGTACTCCCAAGACTCCCAAGAGTCCAAACAAGTGGCAACAACCAATCACAATAAGATACCTGCGACTCTGCGAGGTTGCGAGGCTGCGAGGGTAACAAAATTAAAGCACAACATTGAGCTGATGTGAAGCACTTCTCTAACGGCCTCTGCCTGCCTGGCTATTGGCTCTCATGCTACGGGCCTAGGCCATACGGTCTCCCTTCCTAGTGATAGCCCGGGCCTGGTTTTCGAACAACGCAGCCGACGCA